CCCCAAAACCCCAAAACCCCAAAACCCCAGAAGAAGTCATTGTTAAGACAGTAAGAGAAGAATTTATAATTTAAAATTTAGGAAAATGTAATTTGGGTAAAATGGTCCTAGAATGAATTAGCAGCCAGGAGTTGCAGGTAAATAATAGGTGATGATATAATTATTCAATATAGGATTAGGAGCATAAAGAATATAGCATGATCCCTTTGCCTTTAGAGGAGGCCCTGTTTAACCTTCTGCTCTTGAAGAAACAATCTGTATATTTCTCTTTCAAATATAACTTTATATTGATCGTGCTTTTATAGAGACTCAAATGAATTCAGTTGCTGGTAACCTTATTAAGAATTATGCAATGAATCAATTCAATTAAACGTAAGCCGATTCTTCAATCATGATCTGTTAGTGTTGGAGATACTAAATCATATATGTCATTCTTTTCATTAGACAGTATAAAGGAGTTCTTCGATGTGAATAATAGCTATGTATTGAAAAAACTCAGAATTATACTATTCCCAGTCACTATAAAAGTATGAATAGGAAAATTTCTAATATTATTCCAATAACCTAATCAATGCTAATTAGGGAGAGGCATGGAAGAGATAAGTGGGAGGATATGATTTTAACAATTAGGAATTGCCACCAAGAGAGGATCCACAAGCCCCTGATCTCTATATACCTCTGATGTCATTCGTAACTTTTATTCTGATTACTGGTTTCTATTTGGGAAATATTGGAGGGTATGTCTATATTATTAGTTAGTTAACTTAGTCCCTTATAGGTTTGATCCTGAAGTTTTAGGATATATCTACACTAAGTCTATGTTCTTATGGTTCTTTGAGACAACAATTTAAAAAGGCTGTTTCTACTTCCTTGGCTTTGGCAACCCAACATTCTTCGAGCTGCTTTGCTATACTGGCTACAAATTTGTGAATTTGACAATAATCATTATGGTCCAGTCAGCTTTCGGATACTATGCCTCTTATTTGGCTTTTTTCCTGACTTCTATAATGTTTTTCTACTTCTTTTTTAAGACCATGAACCGCTTCTAAAGTGGCAACACTCTTGCAGATCATATCAAAGAGTCAGGAGGTTTCAACAAAAAATCCTTTTTGCTAGTCAACTCCTTAGCCCAAGTTGCTCTCATTTGGATTTTATCTGTTAATTGATTTTATTTTTTTCTACTTAAAGTTTAGAAAATGTCTTATGGGGTTTTGGGGTTTTGGGGTTTTGGGG